TAATTGTGGCTATCATCAGAGCATCTCCGAATTTAAGACATTTAGATATCAGTCATAATGATATTGGTGATGAGGTTGCTAAAGTACTGGCTCATACTTGTCATAAATTAGAATATCTCAATCTGGATTGCTGTAAATTTATCAGTAAACCATCAATTTGTAATGTTATACGTTTCTGTCCAAAGCTCCAATATCTTAACCTTAGTTGCTGTAATATTACCAGTATGGTTATCAAAGAAATTGCTCGCTCATGTCTCAATATAAAATTTTTAGCTTTGGATGGGTGTGAAAATATTAGCAAAAAAGCCATAGACCAGCTAAATCCAAATATTCATATTGATTTTGATGAAGATTACTGTTCTGATTCAGAATCTTCTAGCTCTGAGTCTGAATAATCTAACTAGTCCAGAGCAGTGATCATCAGCTTTGCTATTTTTTTGTTTGAAGATACAATATATAATATGCACTATGTATAGTATAATCAAGTATCTTTTATTTACCAGAACTACTAGAACAGATTTTACATTTTTTAGCGATAGATAACTTTTTATTTTTCAAGCTAAATTTATGAGAAAAAAGGATTTATGAGAAAAAAAATACTTGACGTTTTCTGAGACGGCCCGTCCTAAAAATTTTTTGGTAATTTTAAAATATTGAACAATTCCTTTCATAATATAAAATTATTATTGATCATGTCAGATAACGAAGCTAACCCATCTGAGCTTGAAGTAATAAGATAGTGTATCATTAATCTAGAGGCTGAAAACTCTAAGATTAAGGCTGAGAAAGCTGAACTTAAAGCTAGGGTTGCTGAGCTTAAGACTAGAATCGAAGAGCTAGAAAAAAATAATGGAGTTACCCCTAAACTCGTATCTGAGAATGCTGAACTTAAAGCTAGAGTTGCAAAATTGGAAGAGGATTACAGGCTGATACAAAATGACTCAAAGGGAAATAATGCTACTATGGTAACTGATTCTTCTAACGTTAGCTCTCCTAACTGCAATTTTGATACATCATTACCCAAAGAATCAATACCAGAAGTTTCACCTGCCAGTTCTAAATTATCGAAAGAAATGGAGATAAATACTTACTTGGATGAGATGTATAAGAAAAATGTTAGCAATGAGATTAGGCAGAGAAATCGGGAAAAGAAACTTCAAGCCCAAGAGTCCTATCTTGAAGAGAAAATACCTCAAGAGCACAACTCGATTATCCAACCATATAATAATTTGACATTTGAAGTCAGTGAAAATGTTGACCTAGGTTTACTTAAGTCTCTTACCTCTGATCCAGTGATCCATGATCAAAATGGAGTTGTCGGGGATAATAGATCACATAAGAAAAAAGGAATAGATAAACTCAAGCACAAATTATTCAATCCCCTTTTGGAATCAGATAGTCCAAATAATGTGACTGAAATTTTTATATGTAAAAAGTTACCATTAATAACATTGATGAAATTTCACATCATCTAGCTCAATTATGTGATAAAGCTATCGATGCTGAAGATAGAGCAAATCGAGCTAATCAGGAAGAAATTCTATGTTGGTGCTTTTACTGGAAAGATTTCAGAAATCAGCTTGATGAGATTATCAAAAGCGATGATGGAAAATTTGGTGAAAAGAAGGCAAGAAGTATTCTTTATGATACTATCATAGAACAGCTTTCTATTCTCTGCAAGAAAAGATCACAAGAATTGGGGATGCAACTTCAGGATGTATTACGGGATAGCTTATGTAAGAAAATCCGAAGAGCTGAGAAAAACTATAAATTTTTCAAAATAATGGGTCTAGATAAAATCAAGTATATCAATTCTTATAGTGCGAATTCTCTTTCAGAGCTTACTAATGAGCAAATTCAAGAGATTATAGATTATGGAATATCTTTGGAAAAGTTACCTATAGATCAAGTGACCAAAATTGCTGAGACGGCCCATTCTGAAAAAATCTTGCCCATATCTGAAGAAAATTCATCATCCACATCTCAAATCGCTTCAGCTAAGGCAGACAATGATGACGATGAGTATTTTTATTCTGAAGATGGGGAAGTGAAAGAAGCGAATAAAGAGGTGCCAAAGGTGTTAGCAAAGCTAACAGATGATGATAGTGACTGTAGTCATGACAATGATTCTAAAGAAGAGATACCATATAGATCGGATGATGATAATGGGTATGATAATAGATATGGTGGTTATGATGAAGGTTATTATTATTGTAATGGAAAATATGAAAGGAAAACATCACCAATGATGAGTCCTATTATATCTCTAGTATCTGGTTAAGAGAATTATTAGGTAGATTGTATACTGAATTATGCGAAGCGTCCCTTTGGTTGACTGGGGTTCATATAGGTTTAATTTTTTTCAGCTGAATCGGGATCAGCAAATTAATAGATATTAGGGTTGTCATATTTGTTTCATGTTTTACAATGATCGTAGCATCTGGGATAATGGTTCTTTTGTATTCATATTACATAAAATCGATTTACAATTTGTCAATTTCTAACCCATGATATGGCATAGTAAAATTTTCCAACTGTCAAGGCTATTTCTGATTTCTGTGATTCAAATACTTCATACCTTGGCTTGTTTTGAAGCTCTCAATATCCTACATCTGGTCGAACTGGATTAGCATTTCTATGACTTCTGGATCAGATTTCGTAGATGATTGAAATTACAATTCTTATATAGTGTTAATAATACATTTTGAGGATCACTGGATAGCTATGAATTCTTGCATAATAACCTATAAATTTCTCACCTCCTTTAGGTTCTCAGAATCAAAAACTAGTATTTTGTAGGTTGTCAGATCATCATCATTTCTCACGCCACTTTGGCAATGTTACCTCCACAAGATTCATTCGTGATATGTCTAAAATAATTGACCTTACGATTTTCTGAATAACTATATATTCAGTGATCAGAATTTAACGAAATTTGGTTTGGTAAATGTTCAGAATCTGCAAAATCCAGACGTTCAATTCTTATCAAAATTGGGTCATTGGTTGACGAGCTATTTGCGTTTCAAATTCGTTACAGCAAATCGGCCTTTTATGACAATTCCCCTTCCTTTAGTTTCGAACTATAGTGAGAAAAAGGGGAGGGTGTTAATATTTTTTGACTTTATTGATTGATTAGAGACCTGCATGTTAATACAGCTTAATTTCAGAATTGGGATCAGCAAATTAATAGATAGGATTACCATATTTATTCTGGAAAGAGAAGTTATAGTGTCAACATAAATAATGCACAGTAATATTATGATAATCGTTATATGTATCACAGGAATAAGCAACTGTGCAAAATAATTTATTCTTAAACTTTCTCGCACATTCTCAACCCCTTGATGATCTTTACATATTGATTATGAATAGCATTAAATTAAAGAGAAGCCGTTGATCAGATTTTCGTGATGCAACCATATTAACGTAATTCCCCTAAAAGCGTATTCCAAAATCGATTCTGTAAATTATATAAAAAAATGATGTTCTAGTTAGTGAATCTTTTTATCCGCCTCATGCAAGTAAAATAAAAATCAAATAAAATTAATAAAACTAATCTAACTTACTATTATTTGCATTATTGATATTAACAATCAAACGAACTCCTATATTTCGCAAAACAATAATAAGGTATATTGGTTTTATAGTTCAGGTTAACTTCTTGAAATATATCATCACAATGTTAATCGATTTTCCTGCCTCTATAGATGTTTCAAAATAAAACGGACGCATTACTCTTCTTGTTATATATTGACGTTTTGATCTTTGCTGAGAAAATCTTTGACAATCATCACGCGTACAATAGGCACAGTGAAATTACTCACATAAATCTCGTCACATGCCTTAACATCACACTCCTCAATAAACTTTGGCACAGTATCATACTGGCAATAAAAAAATCGAATTACCTTTATTGTAATGCATTAAGTAATAATAGTAAGTATAAATCAGAAATATTTTTTTTTACCTCAGTTGTTAATCTCCCGAATTTATCCATAGATTCGAATTTACTTAATCTCTGAGAAGTTTCATTACAGGGAATATTATTTTACATAATCTGCGTTTTTGGAAGAGATATAGATAGACAAAAATCTTGTAAACATGAGTGAGATAATTTATTTTGGAAATCTAGTGTAGTAAAAGAGTGTGGAGGTGAGAATCTTGTAGTTAGTAGAAACAAATTAGCTATAGATATTTTTTGTAAACGTGAAATAATTGATGCTGAGACTCGCATTAAATGGCCTAAGATCTGCGTACTCCCCCCTTTTTGATAGCATCATACATTTCATTCACTATTTTACTGAAAAACTAATAAATATCAGGTTTATAACATGTATCATTGAAAAAATATTTCGGGGTGCTGGAAAAATTATTAATGCAATTTATAAGTATCATGTGATCATTCATTTACAAAACTGTTGTGGCATATTCTTTTATGGAAATTAGACATAGATAATTAATTAATTTTTGCAATAGGCCATTTCAAAGTTATTCGATCGGCATTTTGATCGTCAAATCTAGTAACCATCAAAATTTATGATCAAAATTTATAATTGAGATCATTGATCTCGTAAAATTGATCGACCGTTACGAATTTTTTTTTAAAAATAATTTTTTATC